CTCATTGCCTCCTCACCCTCAGGCGAGCAGGGGCAGTTCTGGCAAGGATTGCCAGGTAGTCTGAAACCCGAAGCTGCTCTGCAGAGGTCTCTGACCTACCAGTGCTAACCTAAGTGCAGGCTGCAATCTGCTCCCTCCCCTCTGCCTGTCACTCCACGTGCAATGCAGGAGACTCCACCAACAACCTCCCGAGCAAAGATTTTTACCTCTGCAGCAGCAGGTTAACAACGACTTGCAGCCTTCAGTAAAGTCTGTTCTGGTTCAAGAGGTAATTGGTCACACATGTATGATACAGCTGTCCTCAGCGGGAGACTTTCATTTACTTTGATCCTCGTGTTAAAATAAACAAAAACCCTTGTTGTGTATTTCCTAATTTCAGTCTGCTGTGGCAATCACAGTTCATCATAGGCATGTGAAAAATATTTTGGAAAGCCACGTCACGTACGTCTTGCTCAGCACTCAGTGCACTGATTAAAAAAAAAAAAGATGTACAGCATGTATTGTCCATCAGTTGTGCACAGAGCTGGGCCGATCAAACCTGAACTTTGATTGCCTTTAGCCACATGGCGAAAATGATCTGCATCAATCTGCCCCAAACCATCTGCCTTTCTGCTTCAGGCTCGTGGCTGTGCTCAGAATCAGGTGCAAATGCATCAGCAGTGATAGTCACCTTTTGGCTGCTCGGAACAAGCCCCCACCTCTGGGAGCATTTGCATTCAGGCTGGAAAAGGAGGCACTGCCCCAGCAGGGAGGTTGGTACAAAGTCCAGATTTACAGGCCTGTCACCAGACTAAATCAAACGGTACGTGGTCCATAACACTGTCAGGAAGGTAGGGGATGCCATTCTGCATCTGATTAAGAGTGATATATTCAGTCAAACCACATAATAATGCTGTTTTAGGACTAAAATGAGAGACTACTGGCAAACGCAATAATCCCCTTTTTCAAACGACAAAGATGTGCAAATACGGGGAGAGGATAAAAACCTAGCGGTGCTGACACCGGGATCAGGACCGGGAGGCTTTACAGGCTGTGCGCTCTGCCTTTTGCCTTCTACTTGTTGTTTACACTTAGGAATAGAGCTGTGGGGGACAGGATATTTAGGAACTGTCACCGCACGAGTGACATATGGGCACTGCCTGGATCATGGCATCTTTATGATGGTGTGACTTCTAATCCAGACGTATGCAGATTAGCAGCGGGCTCAGTCATGCTGAAGGCATCCAGGGCTCCCTTTTAAGCACCGATCCCTTTCTGACTGGCAGCGATGTGACTGTCAGCTACTGTTCCCTGATGTCTCTCTCACATGACTCCTGTGTGCCGCGATACGCCGCGCTCGGCCGCCTCTCCGATTTCCAACCCAGCGTACCGCCGCCGCGGACAGTAACGGGGGTTTCTGTTCCTGGCCGAGTGCCACAGTGTACTTGGAGACATTTGCTGCTCGCATGTGAGTTTTGGAATCCCCTTTTACAATCAGGAGGTCTGTGGAAAAAGAAATCCCTAGCGCAGCATGAACATAATACTGGCTCTGTGTGATGCCAAAAGCATTAATCTCGTCAGCCTTAAGGCCGTGTGCCTACGGACTCCAAATGTCCCAGTTCACTCAGCACATTGCTCGCAGCCTCCTGCACGATTTTTAGCTAATTACAACATCACATGATAGCACACTGCACTGTGTTTGAGTTATGAAACCGGGGCATCTGTAGAAAAATCCAGGTAATTTTTTACTCTGACTCACAGGAGAACGGAGAAGCTGTTATTGCCAATTGCCAACCTGATGGAACAGCAGCTTGCAAACTTGGGGATGAGTTGCCCTTATCCTTAGCTAAACGATGCTCCTGTTGAAACGAAAATCTCTCAATTCAATTTCCATTGGAAGATCACAGACTTCTGTCTGTAACTCCTGCTAGCAATAGAGACAGCAGTCCCACTTACTTCAAGCCAGGACTCCGTTTAAAATGTGTATAACTGAGCAACAGGTGACTAAACGCTCTGCTGAGCGGCACATCAGCAGTGCTTTTGACAGACACAACATTTTTTGGCTTTGTCTTCTGTACCAAGTGTTGTCTAGGTTTCTAATTTAAAGAGATGTTCATAAAAATGAAGAAAAATAAGCTGTTCTGCTGGAAGCCCCTCTCTGTCGTCCTCCTCAACTGTTTGATTTTCAGCTTTTGGCTCCTCATTCCTCCTGCCCAGAGAGAGGGCCAGCCTCCCACAGGGGGCTTTAGAGCTCCTCGAAGGCATGTCATCTCTCCACCCATAAAAGTTGGAAATTTTGGCATTACAAGGTAATGTAAGTGCGTCCTTCAGGCACTGCTGAAAGCAGACTCCCCCTTGCAATGGACAAGGCATGGGCCTATCCACCAGACAGTCCCATGGCCAGCACAAGGTGTTGCGTTAAGCATTTGTACCTGTAAGAGAATGGGACTGTTGCCAAAACTCCTTGGAGGACAGGAAGGAAGAAGAAAAACAGCAATGCTTCCCAAACCGCTGATCCAATGTTCTTCCCTCTGCCATTTCCTACTGAGTATTTTCTGTTTAACCCCTTTTTATATCATGTGAATGGGAAAACGTGACCGCCCCCCTTTCCATTGGGCACAATTTATACACTCACATTGTTGCAGAGAAGGGAATTTGAGCTGATGCCATGCAAGTGTGTTGAAAAGGACCACTAGAAACTGAAGCCACGTTTCGCTGCCTCCAGCTCGGGCATAGCAGAATTGTTTGGCAGGTCATGAAGGCCCAGCAAATTTACTTTTATGAGGCTTCAGGAGTGTAATGGGAAGATCAGTGTGATCATACAGAGATTTGTGAAAAGCCTTTTTTTTTTCCCCTTTTTTTTTTTTTTTTTTAATAGAGAAAGATCTCTTTTCTGTAGAACTTCTAAAATAACTGTTCTGTAAAATGCATACATTCAGTCACATGGCTTACAAACACTTCAGGAGAATCACTGTTTTCTGTACTTTTCTGTAAAGGCAGTTCCTTTAGGGCTGACAGAGAGGAAGCCTCATGTTTCTCACTTTCCTTTGTGTTATTGAGTGGGGACCAGGCATCAGCATCAGCTGAGCCCGGGTCACAAGAGCAGTGACAGTGAGGCTCACCACAGACCAGTATGCCAGTTGCGAGCAGGAAGGGCAAAGGCTCACAGAACAACTGCACTTGGGAAGCACCTCTGGAGGTCATCTAGTCCAGCCTCTGGCTCAGGTGGGGCCAACTTCAAAGTTAGCCCATCAGTAATTAACAACAAAATGAAATGCAACAGGAGCACTGGAGATGTGCACATGCTGGATGAGCAGCATCAAATGGAGAATTCAAAAGAATTTCACAAGTTCCCAGTTAACCACTACCTCAACTTAAAAGGCATATTTTAATGTGACACTGATTCATGACCAGCTTTCTCAGATAAATATAGCATACCCAGAAAACAGAAATTATAAGCCACTCAGATTTAGCAACAGATTGACCAAAGGAAACTCAATGCTTTAATCTAAATGCAAACAAAAGTCCTGATATGGTTGTCAAACATAGTATAATCTTGGCTTTTACTTTATTTCAGTCTTTCTTTTTTTTTTTCCTTTTCTCTTTTTTTAGGAACTGTAACTTAACCTTGTCAAGTGGAAGTTTCTGTTTTTATGGGGCTTTCTCCAGATCAAAGCGAAGGCATGTTAGGAGAGAATTGAAAGCAAGCGTGTGCTCTCACAGGCTGTGCCGGGCAGCTGAGAGTGATCAAACCTGCTCCTCGCTCACTTCTGTACAGCTGGGTATCTCTGACAGCATTCTGCTTGCTCCGCTCATATTTCCTTTTTACAGGGGAGAAGATTTCATCAGAAAGCTGGAACAAATTGCACCTTTGGTTAAACCATAATGTATGCTAACGGTTGTTTCCTCTTTCCCTGTATCTGACATCAGAGCCGTTCTCTTTGAGGAAGTCACAATTACGACGATTGTTTCTAACCACTGCTCCCTTCTATTTCGGGCTGGGTGAGAATTATCCCATCCCTTTATACTCTGTTTTTGGCTAAATACACTTATATCTGTAACCTGTATGTACAGGAACATTGTTTGAGAAGACTGGAGTACAACAAGATATTTCTGCACAGAACAAAGAGGCAGAAAAGGAAAGTGCGGGTCTCTTTTTTTATTTTGTATTGATTTAAAATGCTTTAACAACAACAGCGCTTTGATTGATGCGAAGTCACAATGAAGCCACAATAGACTTGGTGGTGGGATGAATGCTCCTTTGACCTTTAGAGATAGTTGGCCTCATTCCCCCACCGCTGTGCACCTAGGGCTGTAATTTATACCTGTGGCAAAGTGGTTACCAAACCAGCATGGTAGCGTTTTACAGTGGCCGGTGCGAATCACAACACAAGGAACCAGGCAGGGGGAAATCAGGCCCAGAGCCTTCTCCCACAAGGCATCAAAGAGAGGATCTTTTATAATTTACTACAATACTGCCTAAGTACCAACCTAAAACGAGGCCCTGCCAGGCACCCGACAAACACAGAATAGAGGACGGCCGCTTGCCACAGCCCGAGGACTTGTCCGCAGGGGGAAGCTACTGCTCATTAAATGAAGGTGTGGGCACGGAAAGCCGTTCTTTGTGCTGGGCCCTTTGCTCCACACGGCGTGCCTCCAGGAGGAGCCGGGGTGTTTTGTGAGCTCCCAGCTTAACCCGCTGTGCTGGGAGCTCCCGGGCGCTGTGTAAATCTGCATGGCTACACAGCAGCGGGTGGAAGGGAGGGATGGAGCCCCTCCAGCACCCGTCCTAAACCTACCTGGCCTCCCTGCCCAGATAAATCTCTTTAACCCTTCGCAAGTTGCAAAAGCACAGTAAATGGGCTGAAGGGTTACCTGGGGAAGAGATTTCCAGAGTCGTGCACCTAACGCCGATACACAAGAAGAAAGAAAAGGCATTGGCCGTGTCTACAGTGCCTTGCTAGGTCACTCATAAGACTATCTGACTCAGGGTGCCCCAAAGCAGAGGAACCTCTCTATGCACACAGAAGGCCTTCAGACATCACACAAGCCTCCTCACAACACAGAGCTCCGTACCCTCTGGCATGACATTGATCTCCAGATCCCTCCAGGAGGGAACAAGCACCACTGTCACCCCATAACCTCCTCATGAGGCCCTACAAAGGGGTCCTGCCTTACTGACTGCTATCTAAGAGCACCTGAAAGCAGGTCCAGCTGATCACATGCAGGCATATCAGTGTTGGGGCAGGGGGAACTCACTCCATCAACTCTTTGCCACCAAGGGATGAAATGCTCCTTTTTTAAAAGGAGGATAAATAAGAGAGTCTTATACAGCAGGTGTTTTATACAGCAATCTCACAGGGAGTTGGCTTTTTCGATGATTCAGGGTGGTTTTGCAAAGATAACCCATGAAACCTCCCTGCACTACATACTGTGATCACACAGGCCTAGGCCCAAGGAACAAAACCAGTTCCAGGCCAAAGGCACACAATCCCCCAGTTTCTTCCAGAGGACAAGGACACCTCCCAGGACCATCTTACTCCTTTTCGTTTAGAGGCAAGCATTTTAAGTCAGTGAAACACAGCAGTTTCTGACAGCAGCCCAAGCACATTTCCCAGGACAGAGCAATCTGGGCTGGGAATCACAGACTGCAATCATAGGAGATGGTTTATCTTCCCCTTAATGAGAACAGTATAGGAAGCTGAAAAACAAGGTCTGACCGAGGCCTACAAAATGAATACACAACCATGCAGTCCCTTTTATCTCTTTTTAAAGTCCTGCAATTCCCCTGTCTATACCAAACATACTCATTTTGAAAGTGCCTGAGAAGAACTGGGAGGTGGCTTATTACACGAGCACTGCTGCGAGAGGCAAGCTTGCAGGAAACTTTCTGTGCACAATGTCACCCCCAGACACCAGCGGCTTCAGGTCTAGAAAAGCTGTGTGGGAGTCCAGAAACGCCTGCAATTTATGTGCTCTTGCAGAAGGCAGGGCCGGTTAAAGTGACCAACACACCATCGCTTTGTACACACACATCTGCAGAAGCACAGAAAACACAGCAGACAGTGGATATGCTGGGGGAGCCAGCATCAAAAGTTTACCTGGCGCTGATGTCTGTGATGAAAATGATCTTGATGGAGTAGGCAAAATGGCATTATCTGTCTCAGACCACATCTAATATGACCACCCTCCACTCTTCCATCTTGCCAGGGCTGACACCACCACAGAGCTCTCACAGAGCTCCCAGAGACACACATCCACAACTACCCCTCTGTCCCTCAAGGCTTGCCTGCTTGGTGGCCAACAAAACCTTGCTCAGGTCCCTGTGGTCCCCTTCCTCAAAGGACTGAAGGCAGGACTCAGTAAGGAGGTGGAGGGGCAGCAGGCAGGATGCTAACCCTGTGCATGCCCAGCACCATTTGTCCTTTCTTCTCATTAAACTCCATTTCTAACCATTTGTTGTTTTATTAACTATTCCACAGGCTCTCTTTGGCTTCGAGAGGCCGTCTTGCTTTTACAGGCACTCAAGGGAGAAGAACTGTTTACTTAGCAAAATCTCTGGAATTAGTTAACTTAAACCAAGTAGTGTTTTTGTGAGCCAGTTATTTGCTCATAGGCCCTATTGCACAGACAGATATGATGAAGCCTATGAGGTGTCCCAGCATAACTCAGTGCAGAGTTTGTCCTGTGTGGTCCTTGCAAGTGATGATGCATGAGTCAGCTGGCTAACCACTAGAAAGCAAAACCATATTCCCTGTAAGCTTTCAATTAGAAACAGTAAATTAACAAAGCCACGCTCACTTTTCAAAAGCTCCTTTTTCAAAGCAACTCTTTTCCGCTGTCCTCCCCAATTTCTCTCAGGATCCGAAGACGAGGACTTCAGCTCCACCTTCTGCTGAAAGAATGGAGCAGAGAGCACGGCAGGCAGCAAGGTCCAACTTCAAACAGGAGCAAAGAGCATCAGGAAGATTCCAGGTGGGAAGGGTCTCTGGAGGGCTCCACTTCAGCTCTAGGCAGGGCTAGCTTCAAGACAGATCAAGTTTTCAATATCTCTGTAGACTGAGAAACTACATTTTGAAGAAAACTTCTTCAGCATTTGATTATTCTCCTAGTAAAAATTTTCCTTCCTACTACCCATCAAGAGCCTCCCTGCTGCATCTTGTGACCACTGCCTCTTGTCCTTTTGCTGAGCAATTTTGAGAGGAGCTTGGCTTTGCCTTCACTACCACCCTCCTCTAGACAGTTGAGGACAGCAATTAGATTTCCCTCAATCCTCTTCTCCTCTGGCCCAAATATATCCAGTTCCCTCAGCCCACCCTCCTATGCTACATGTATGTGCTCCAGCCCTCCGCACAGGAGCGTTTTATTCAAGATTAATAACGTTATTTCATTATTACAGAGGTCAAAAATAGCAACCTTAGGATGTCGCCCTGTGCATTTTAATGATAAAATGATGGCATTTTAAAATCATTCAATGATTTTTTCCTCATTTCATATAGGTTAAATGCTCCAATAAATTACACAATAAGTGAGAAATTATATTGAGTTATATCTTATTACTAGTTTCATAAAACACAGCAACAAATCACAGCGTAGCAGGTGACCAGCCCACTCTGCTAGGTATTAAGCCTGTCGCTTGGCCAGCTGAGCTGCAGATAAAACCTGCAGATTGATTAGACCCAACTGGCACCTGCAGAATTAACACCTGCAATTTTGGTCAGCTAGCTAAACTAATTGAACCGAGCAGCACACAGCGATCAGATTTCACTCCTTTTCTTTTCACACATAACTCCTGACGTCCTTTGCAAGCGGTTGTGAGAAACTGCATGTTTGATTTAGTTGGAAATCTGATCATTTTTGCAGGTGACCACAGCTTTTTAATGCATACATGGAGATGTCTCTTTATTCTTGCTGCAAAGCAGAGCAGTGTTTTATTTTTGTTCTGCTTTCGGAAACTGCCATTGTATATTCAGTGACAAGCAGATTGAATAGATAGATTTAATTCTTGTTATGGCCCTGGTTACAATAACAATCCTTACATCTCCTGTAATTATCATCCAGCATTTCACCCACAAATACATAACAGCCTCTCTTTCTGTATATTTAATCACCCTCTCCTAACCTCCAACTCTCCTAATGGAGCTGCCGGTTGATTAGCAAACAACTAATCACCTGAGTGCCAGATACAGGCAGCTGCACAGTGTGCGTGTCACTCACGACCCATCTGCAGAGCACAGCAAATGCCAGATGCTTGTCTCGGAGTAAGCTCGGCAGCAAACCACTGGACACGGAGAGCAATGCAGACAGGCATGTGTGTACGTGTGTGTACGCAGACAAATAAGAGTGAGAGAACCATAGAAAATGTTACTGAAAGGAAATGTTTTGGTCTGCTGCTCCCTCAGGGCTCATTTCTTTCTTTATACTTCCTCAGTGTCCTGCCTGCCATACCTTCTGCTAAGGAGAAAAGTTTGGTGCAACCCCAGGTAGTTGAAATGGGAGCTGGTTGCTCAGCCTATGCAATAATAGTAGACTTTGTGAGCGGTTGTGACGAATGTTGTGTGTGTGTGTTTCATTAGTTTTACAGTTTCTGAATATTATTAAAATGGACGCAGTTACAACTAATACAATGTTTGGCAAAATGTACTGACTCAGCCCAAATTTTACATTTGATTCACGGAAGTCACTGCACAGTTCAGCAAAAGGTGGGCTTGTAATGATTGTCAGCATTATTCATGCAAACATGTTAATATTTTGATATTGCACAAATCATCTTGAAAAGGAGCTAGAGAGTCAATGCCAGCTTCATGTATATACACCAGAGTGCTTCTGAAGCATGTCTGAAAATTCTCATTTTAATGATGTGATATTTTATCTTAAAATATACAGTCAGGTGTGTGGTGATAATTCAGGAAAGACATACATATAAAACTCACTCCAATCCATTGGCTTCTTTAAGGTTGGATCGGGCTTCATTGTTTGATTTTTCTTGACAAAAATGTCATTAATGTCTTAGTGGAACCTGAGATTATATCAGAGCCTAAGAAGTGAAAAACAGTAAAACAAAAGAGAGGCCAAACATCAGAGAGTAAAGATTTGCTGGGCATCCTGCCATTTGGAAAAGCTAGAGGTAACCTGTCTTTTTAAACTAACTTTAAACAAAACCCAAGCTTGTGCCCAGAGTAGATGCACATTACTTCTTTTTAGCTCTGAAGGCAGATCCTGACAAAGACACAGTCAACCTGAGGTGAAGAGGTATCAAACCTTTTTCCCTAAAACGTAACTCCGAATGTCAGATTGTATGTTGCAATCAGAGAAAACAGGCAAACGGACGGGAGTAGTAATACAGGAGCAGAAATGTTTTCCCCATCGTATTAAATAATGCCTGCCTGATAACAAGGAGGAAAGGGGAAGAAGAAGGGAAAGAGGAAGAGGAAGGTCCTCTGTCTTCATTACATTTATCTCCTCTGTCTTCACAAGGCTTTACATTCCACTTGTTCAGATTTTAATCCTCCTTCAGAGCAACACATTGTTTTGCCAGAGAAGACACAGGCTCCTTTAAAAATCTCATATTTAGCTGAAATTGCATGCCAAACTACAGAAAGCCTCAGGTGTAAGCGTTTGTGAGAAAATGCAAGGATTCTATGCAGACCTCACCCAACTATTTCCCTGGAAGGATAAAACCACTGTGCCACCAGCTATTTCTGCTTGTGCAAACAAAACTTGACAACAAATAGCAGTGAACCTTCTGAAAGATTTAATCTGAGAAAATGCTCTGAAGTGCTTGATCCACATGATAAATAATTGCTCTGTGGTCTATATCTATACTACTGGATCAAAACTTCTTTGCTTCCACATTTTTCCATCCACACATTAGCATTTAATATTAATTTACTTGCCTAGAATGAGCCATAATCATATTTGCCATACGTGAGCTGTTACTAGAAGTAGAGGGCATTATTAATTGCCAGGAAAAAAATGAACTAAAAAGCCACTTGGCTACGTGCGTGGATATGTAGAGGAGAGAAAAGAATGTGAACAGCATCCTGCTTTTCTGCTCACCTGTGCAGTGTTGCAGCACTGACTCCATGAGAATTTGTGTGTCTGTGTGTGTTGATAAATCATGAGCAATATTAGCCTTCCCTAAGTACAGAGGGTGAGGAAGGGTCCACACCCCACCTGTACTGGTGGCACACCAGTGCCCACTGGCACCTGCAGAGAGTGAGTGGGCTTCTCTTATCTACAACCTATCAGACCTCACGAAAGGAACCCAAACCTTTCCTTCACAAAGCAGCATTATGTGGAAGCAAGTTGTCTCCAGTGGAACAGAACAGATCAGTGGGGAAATGCCAAGCTATGTATTTTACCATTTACACTTAAAGAAGTGGTAGGAGAAGGCTTTGAACAATCCCTTTCTTCTGAACAAACCAGAGTGAGCTCTGTGCCTGAAGGTCTTACACATTGGCATAAAGCTACTTGATCACATTGTGATTTGCAGCCTGTACAATTTATATCAACTGCATCTATGTGATGATTACACATTTCCTTCCAAATTGTTGATAAAGGTATTGAGCGAACCAAGAATAGCTCCTTATGCTACCTCAGTTCAAAGTTTACAGTACTGCAGCTCTTCTAAGCCAGAGATTTCCAATCTGCACTGTGTAAAACCCATTGACAGCGCACCTGCAACCTCAAAGGAGCAGCCAAACACAATTAAAAATCTGCCCTGCTGCTTTCTTCTGGAGGCAGCGAGAGACTGCTTGAGTAGGTAAGAACTCACTGTCATACTTGGGCTCCATCTCACACAGCGAGGGGAGCTTCTACCTTAGACTACTTCAAGGACATCAGAAATTACAAGAAACTCAGTGGCCAGCAATTTTTCTTCTGAATACAACACAGTTGCTTTGGGTTTCAACGACAGCAATTTTTGTACTGTAGCTGAATGTTGGAAATGATTACAGGGTCATATTGTTTAGGGATAGTATTAGACTATGGGGCTTCAGTATCAAAGTAAAACCAAAATGTGCAGCTGAAAAAGCTGAAGGTGGTGGTAAATTCTGAAGTCATTAACAGAAACATGTTCATGAGAGCAATAACCCAGCCAACACCTAGTCAAGAGAAGGTGAAATGGGAGAAGAACATAAAAAAGAAATGACAGAATCAGCTGGCACCTCATAGAGGAGTAGCCATTCAAATGTGAAACAGCACACAACAAAAGAAAAAAACAAGGAAGATAGTGTAGCAATGACACAAAGGAATGGAAACCACCAAATAAAACAGTAAAATCTAGGTAATAAGATCCATAATACTAGCACAGCTCTAAGTCAGTCCCAGAAAAATGTACGCAGCTTTTGGAAGCTGAATTTAATCAAAAATTGTTTATTAACGAAGATACACTGCAGAGAGGTTGGAAAGATAAACAACAGGCAAAAACTTCTTTTCCAATGCTATGTCCACTTCATTAATGCATCAGTGTCTTCCTCTTCTCTCCCACGCCCCCACATTTCTTTCCTTGCTTCATCCTATTGAATCCTGTTGCTCATCAGCTGTCTAGGGGGGTGCTCTATTTTCCTTTTTTTATTTTTGTGTGCTAATAACAAGCACAATGAAGCTGGTAGGATTCCTAGTTGTGTGACTACATATAAAGACCTAGAGAAAGGCAAAATCCAGTAAACTCTGAGGTACATATAAGCAATCTCTGCGTCTCAAGAAGTTACTGTGGGATTAACATCTGAAATGCGCAAATCTTTGAATCTCTTGGAGGAGATGCCCTACATTGCTGTTTCTTTGTTTTCTTCAAAGGTTGATGGACAATGATCTTCTCAAGATTTTTGCTATTGTCAGACAATGCTAGTCAGTCAAAAACAAACTTTGGGGTAAAATAAGGCAGTATCAACAAGAGATGCAAATTCTGTTCAAAAAAATAGAAAGAAAGGAACCCCAGATAGCCAGTGATACGCTTGTGAGAAAAATTAATGTGGCATGTGAGAGAACCAGATGCATGTCCCTGCTCTGCCTGATTCACAACAAGAATATGAAGGAAGCCTCGTCAGTCTTTCTGTGGTTCAGTGACTATTAATACAAGACAGAACAGACGCAACAGGAAAGCCTGAGAAAGTCCCACACACACTCCCTTGCAAAAGGCACTGTCTGGAGAGTAAGGAGGCCACAGCCTAGTTTCAGCAGAGCAGGTGCTTGCAATAGCATTGAGCTGTCTCAGGTTTTGGTTGAAATGCAGAGAGAATATTCATAAAGTCTCAGTGAGTTTGATAGAGTTACTCCTCACCTCTCTCCATGCTCCTCCTCTCCCACAGCCCTCCAAAAAATACACACTTCTAGTGTCTTTACTACACCCTGCGCTTCACTGAGGGCTCAGAGGAGCAATATTGGCTGCAGCGAGATGGTTTCTGCTTAAACATCCAGGGATTCTCAGAGAAGGCTGCCATGTCCATTAGGTACTCTTCAGCCTCTGTCACCTCATGAAAACCCCCTGAGCCTCTGCAGGTGTTGTAGGCACCTAATGTTTTTCTGTGGAAAGAGGAGTGTACTATAGCATTACTACTGACTTCTTTCATTACTCTAGCCTGCATCCTGCATCTGGATTTTTTATATTATTATTATTTA